TTATGATCTTTATTTCGTGCTGAATCTCTTAATGCAGGTAATCTTTTATCAAAGAAATGTTGTATTTTCCAAAAATTATTAATTGTTTGAATAGTGATATAACTTTTAGATGGAATTTTCTTTGATAAGAATTTAGAAAGGATATCAAATAATTCATCATAATTATGAGGTAATTCTTTTCCAAGAATATATTCTAAATATTTTCTATTTTCAAATTTTAAACAACTATAAGTTATAGCTTCAATTAATGATATTGGCATTGGTTGAAAAATATCAAATAACGATTGATAGAATAATTGTGATAATTCTTGTTTTGAAGAAAGAAGTTTTAATGTTGATTCTATTTCTTTAAATTCTTTTAATGTTGGTGTTTTTATAATTATTTCTCCACGTAATGCTTGTGCAATATCTGGTCTTATTTCTCTTAATAAATATTCTGCTTCATTAATAATTACTAAAGGTGTTGAACATCTAAATACCATTAATGCATCAGATACTGTTAAATCAATTACACGATGAACATATTCATTAGTAATAGTAGTATTAATATCAATTAATCCTTGAAGAATAGATGCAAAATATAATGGAATAACTATTTGACCTCTTAATTCTTGAAATATACCATCTCCTTTAACACTATCTAAAAGTACATCTAAACAAATTGAATAACAATGATTCAAATCTCGTATTTTAGTTAACCAATGAATAATTTTATCACTAAAAGATTATCAGCAATTTCAAAAATGATTGAATCAATAATTTTTGACCATTTAAACCTTTTTTACTAAGTTTCATAGCACACATTTCAATATTATGCATATCTAAATAATCATCAATATATGATGGAGTATATTTGATTAAATAGTAAATAATTCTTTAGCAATATTAATTAATTGTAATAATGTTAAAAAATGATCATTTATTCTAATACCTCTTTTTAAAATAAAATGTATTTCTTCTAAAAATGTAGTCATTTGAGATATTTCATTATTTGTTTTTAATGATTCTATTGATAATAAATTTAATGATGGTAATAATCCAAAATGTGGAATAAAATAATGTTTACTTGATATTTTAGAATGTTTAAGAGTATCATCTTCAATTCCTTTAAGAAGTTGTTGATAAATTTCATTAAAATCATTTGGAATATAATCTTCTTCATTATCAATACCAAAAATTCCTTTAGATGGTTTATTTGGTTTTCCATATTTTAATCCAGCAACAATTAATGAAAGTGCACAACGTGTCACTACAGCTGTTTCAGTATGTTTTAATGCATTATTATCAACAAGTCTCATTACAGATGATATCATTGTTGCTGTTTGTGACCAAGTTTCTTGACTAAGTTCTGAAACTTCAAAATCTCTAACAGCATCAGCTTCAAGACATAATGAATCATATAAAACATTTCTTTAATAAATCGCTTAGAAGAAACAATAACACATTACGAAAAGGAAAACTAAAAGTAATTTTTTTTTATTTATTTTTTCGTAAATATTTCTTTCAAGAAAACGCATATTTAGTTGAATTTCATTAGATTTTTTTAAATTTTCAGAGCCAGTAATTTGCAGATCTTTGTATGTGCAAATGAGTTCTCAACAACAAGTTGACCATTTACTTAAAGAATCAGACAAATGTAAAGTAGAAACGTTACCCAGAAGACCCACTCAGTCAATTCCTAACAAAAAAAAGATGAGCAAAGAAGGGTTTGAAAAGAAAAAAAAAATGACTCGTGAAACAAAAGATAGACCATGTACTGTGATAATTAATTCAAATGATGAATGTGTCTCTCCAAGAAGACGTCCTGTTTACGGAGGATCACCTATGCCATGTATGATGATTGCTGAAGAGCTAAATAAAAGAAATAAACGAGAATCTACCAAAAATACTCCTATCAGAGAAAAGTCAAATGAAAAATTAAATGTAAAGAAAGTAGAAACAACTGCTTCACAACACCAACTCTCTATTCCTATTGCTGGTTTTAAAAAACCTTCAGAAATAAAAAAAGAATCATCTTCTAAGACTACACCTACACAAAA